TTGTACATTTACCGATCGGGTCGTTTTCCTTGTGTGACATTTTGACTGAGTATGGATTTGAACAGCTGTATACTACTGTTGCCTTTATTTGACTGGCGTTTTGTTTGTTTGCATTTTCTACATAAGGAAATGCCTGTACCACGTCAGGAACATGACAGTTGTTTTCCATTCGGTTGATGTGTTTGAGCTTTTGATTTTACAATTTAATAATGGACTTTTCGTTTTGAATTTATCCTCGGAGTCCATTAGTTTTGTTATTTTACTTTTAACATATACCCCACAGATCCGTTCTCACATTTTAACAATAAATCATGCAATATCATTTGTAGATATGTATACAAAGTCTAGTATCCAAATGAACCATTCAACACATTTGTGAAACGTAAAACGTAAATAGTTATTGACCACGACGGCCAAAATCTGTCCCATAAAGATAGACTTTCAAATATGATATCTGTTTACCAATATTGAACTCTCGGTTGTGCATAAAATAGACTTGATAGAGGTTGTACTTATATTTACAATTTTCAAATGCAAGATAGTTTTTGAAGTTGCACAGTTCACATGTGGTAGTTTGATAAGATTTCTAAATCAGACCGTTAGTTTTCCCGTTTGAATTGCTTTACATTTGTCATTTCGGGACCTTCTATAGCTTGCAGTGTGGTATGGATTTTGCTCATTGTTGTCGGCTGTGCGGTGACCTATAGTTGTTAAATTTTACGTCATTCGGTCTCTAGTGGAGAGTTATCTCATTGGCAATCATACAACATCTATTTTTATTTTGTAATTAGAGACACATATTGGTTTATAAATTAAGATCTGTTGATTTATAAATTTATTCCCACTAGCTATTGACGTGTGCAAATATTTTGGGTCTTGACATAAGTAGTGAATTGTGATTAGTTCGTACAAATCAACTTTAAATCAACTTTAATTATATTGTAATTTATGCGTTGTGAAGGCATAAGAATACATCACGTTCTCTACTTTCTCAAACACTATTGTGTACATACGTTATATGAAGAGTGCAATTTGATTTTTTTAATAAACTATCAAATTGATGTTAATTTTATTTATAGGCAAATAATAACTTATTTTTAAGGTAGATTTAACTTTTTCGTAGTAATTCAGTAGTCATAAGTATTTATCTTTTTTCTATTGTAATATTATATTGTTTATTATATCTATATAATTTTTTTCTGTTGAAAATACAAAAAAAAAACATTATATTCGATATTTACCTTTGCAATATAGTGTTTACATAATAACTATTAAAATGAAGGGACAATAAAAGAAATCACTTTTAATTTACCTTTTATATAATATCATTTGGATCGTGTACGACATTAATCCGTGAATTGTTGACAAAAGAATTACTTGATTGTGTTTCAGAGCACCGAACTCGTAATTGAATATAAAGAGGAAGAGAAGCGAAAGATATTAAAGGGACATTCAAACTCATAAGTCGAAAATAAACTGACAATGCCATGGATAAAAAAGAAAAGGAACAACAGAAAAACAACAGTACACAAAACACAACATAGAAAACTAAAGACGATGCAACACGAACCCCACCAAAACAGAAAATATTAAATACTCCTTGTATGTTTATCAAAAATGAAGATTTTACACTTAAAGAAACATAAAATATTATCTTGACTACAAGCACCTCTGAGTGATTTTTGATCTAGAGCACAGGTTTCCCTATCGCCGCATCTACTCTCATTTAATCTGTTTTCACTTTCATGCTTTTCTGTTCTATACTAAGATACATTAATTTCTAACAATTGATAATTCAATCAGCTGTTAATGAATTGAGATTTGAAAAACAAAACGATTATACATATTTAAAATAGTTTGAACTTTATGCTAACAGTCCTAGTTTTCGCTTTGATTCCTATATTTATAAATTTAAGATTTTCTTTTAGATTTTAGTGAATGGAATTTATGTTTTACTGGAAAGTTCTTGAATCAAGGGTTTCGCTGGCGTAAACATGGTAAATAACTTGACACTTGAACTACATAATTTCATAGACACACATTTTGTTTTATAGTCTGTATGTATGGAATAAAAACGGGATTACTAAACCTTATATGTATGGTAATGCTGTTTATAAAGCATGTAAATGGAATTACGATCCAAAACAGATTTATTTATCCTTTGTTAATAAACTTATTTTAAAACCGTAGTAAGATCTTTGAATATTGATTTTATAAGCACTACCATTGATTTTGTTTTTTATATTAACTTAAATTTCATTGCTTTACATTTATGAAAAATTGTGGTCTTACATCCGGTCGATATTATTTCTTATATTTTGACAATCCACAATTTGTCCTGACTGTTGTTGACATATTGACGCTAATTTCGTTGGACGTGTATTGATTGATACTTAAGTCTTGTAGAACATGATTTATATATTGGTTGTTATATACTTTGAAATAGCTTGCAGTAACTGTGAGCACCATGAGATGTGTACAGTGTGTCTTTTGTTTTTATGTTGGTTGTTTTTGTTCTTTGTGTCTATCTGATGAGTCAAGCGATGATGCAGTTACACCACTGTCCCGAGAGGGGGGGGGGGGGGTGAGTTAAAAGCTTAAAAAACAGGTTTAACCCCGTCACATTCTATTTGTGCCTGTCCCAGCTCAGGAGTTTTTCAATGGTTGCTGTCTAATTACATGGATTGTGCTCATTGTTGAAGGCCGTACATTAACCTATAGTTGATTAAATCCACGTCATGTGGACTCTGTTCGATAGGTGTATCATTAGCATTCATACCACATCTCCTTATTACTTATTATGTTATAGCCTCTGTATATCTTAAACAGGCAAATATCAATATAATCCTGGCAGCTTCTGCTTTCATGGTCTACATAATACTATTAGCATCTGTTTACAGTGTCAACATAATATTATACTTCCAACAGTTCTGTAAGTAGTGTATGAAGACGCCTCAATTGCACGCACATATTTTAGAGTTAAAATTAATTACAAAGTTGCAGAGTGCAGAACCAGGAATTCCAAACACTTGTAATGTATAAAAATGCAATTACGACATATAAAGGCAACAGTAGTATACCGCTGTTCTTGTTTGGATTAAATGCATATGTGGGAGTACACAGTGCAACTATATATACACCCCGTTCAACAATAATTGATTGGGTGCCTGTATAAAACCCAATCGCATCTCAGTTAAGAGTTTAAGGAACAAACGTCAATTGCAACTGGAATGTCTATCTAACAAACTGGAGGTTTGGTTTCGTAAACTCAATTTGACATGACATTGTAATTCGCAAACCTGAAATACTAAGCTGGAAAAATGACAGTTGATATTTCAAAACAAATAATTGCTGGAAACTATTTCCCTACATAGACTAGTACAAATGAACATAATTGTTTTTATCATTAGTTATAAGTTTATTAAGATAGTTACTTCGTTTTTGAATAATGCTAGCATCATATTTTAAAATCCAATTATCAACAATCATAACAATAATTTATATAGCCATGCTAGCCTAATTATGAACTTAAGCTTCTCTGCAAATAATCTTACATTCATTTAAACCGGCAGCTTTAGACAAAAAAGGGTTTGTCATGACTTTTCACAATTTTTAGAAAGGTTACTTTAATTATTCTGTTGACAGAAATACTACGAAAAAAGTATACTTTAAGTATATTACCCTTTTATTGAATAAAATATAGCTAAAAATTAGTTTCACATTTGATTAACTTCAATGAATGTATTTACATAATACTTAAATTATATGTCAACTGGCTTTAATGTCCTATACTAGAAATTCAGAACTAGATATATTTATAGATTATGTGGAGCTTGACATATCATTAGATGATTTGGAGCTTGACATATTGTATATATAGTTTAGAACTTGACATATTGATAATTGTTAGAGACCATATAACAATTATATGTTAATATCAAAATATTTGTGTTGGTTTATTTTTTTTTTTGCCGTTTGCTTGCTGTCTTAATGACGCATGTATACCTTACATCTCTTTTATTCATAAATAAGAGACACAGTTCAAATCAAACAGCAAGGGATAGGGAATTAACAAACCTTATCTAACAAAGTCGTAAATGTCAACATAAAATGATTCAGAACAGCAAATGAACTCCTTTGATCATTTTGATTAAGATAATATGTTATTTGGATAAATGTTAGTACTTGCCATGTTGAAGCAAAATATTACATATCAGGAACTGTGATTAAGCATTTATTCAATTCTAAATGTAGCATATATTGAAAGGAATTGTTAAAAAATTATCCAAATTCCCATCATCTGAGCCAGTTATACCGTGATTGAATAGCAGAAGTATAAAACTGGAAAAAATAATAAAAAAAATAAAAATAAAACCAAAATTTACACGTCTTCCAGGGAATTGATTTGTATATAAGTTGAAACACAATTTAAGGCCTTTTTAAAAACATTTGAAACACATCCATAAATATGATAGGTCTAAATCAAGAATTCGTTTCATTGTATGCATGCACTACTTCCTTTTCGGGAATTTCATTTAGAAATTTGTATAGGTTTCCAGATTGTGAGTATGAATTCTCATTATGTAATATGCAATATGTAAGTGAGGACTTATCTTTTTGTTCATTTACAGTTCAAATCAATGAATTAAAAATCTGACTTTACAATTAAATTTTATTGCGCATCTTATATTTTATTTATGCTCTTTACATCAAATACAAAGTAATTAAATAAAGTTTAAATGTTCAAATAAAATGTATATAGAAACATTTTTTTAATTGTATTGTAAAATTGGAAATTATTATATAACAAACTGCGGATACAGTTATCTGGTTTTTAGTAAGCGTATCATCTACAGATATTGGTTATATTTCATTTTAAATGTTTTTTTCTTCTTCATGTTTTCTTGTTTGCATTGCTTTAATATTGTTTATGTTTTTGTAATTTTGAAGTGATAAATATTCATATGATAAAATCTACAGTACAAATTTACTACGCCAGCTAATGTATTTAGATTTTATTGTTTGAATAATTCAACTTTTAGTCATTTTCAATCATAAATACTTTCAAGTTAATAAATATCCGTCGGGTTAATTGCAACTTTTTTAGTTTCGAAATGTAAATAGGCTAAACAACAGGAAAATCCGTTAATAAGAACATGATTTACATTCATTTTTCACAAGTACGGAACATCAAATTCTACAATTTTATTGGTCGATAGCCGTTTGCTGTTTTCTAAAATAACGGTACTTGAGTATCCTTGGTATTTGAATCACAGTTCTTATATTGCGTATGTGTCATTGTGAATCCCAGTACAGTATCACTTTATGGGCTTACTTATAAAAATGATCATATATTCAAATCAATTGTAACTTATAATTATAACAAAAAAATATCCATCCGTCAAATCTAGGAATAGATGTAAGTCGGTTGTTTTTGGTTAGTCTAGACTATCTTCCTAACTAAATCTACCAATCGATCTGTGGTGTAACCGCAAACTTTTTGTATTGGTGTATTTTCATTTTCGTTCTGAAAAATATGATTAAAAATGCATTTAAAAATCTGATATATTCTTATCCCTTTTCGAGTTGCATGTAGAAATGTCTGTATGAGGTATGTGCTAGATTCAAGAAATAACTAGGATAAAAGATATTTTTTCGTTAAAGTGAAATAGTACAATATTGACTGTCCATTTCTTTCTATACCTACAAATGTATAAAATGACTACTACTTAAGACATAAATTCAAGCCCCGTGAATTAATTCTATTCTAATAGGACAAAGACAGCAATTCTTTTGTTTCGAAGCGCTCTAGGTTAAGGGAATGTTTGCTGTTCCCGTAATTGAACACACTCTTAATATTGACCTAAAATACGAAGAAAACTGAATAAGTGACATGCTTAAATGATTTACAATAACATACTGAGACAAGTTTGGACGAAGCTGATTGATTATCTTACTTTTATTTAAGAAAATGGGCTTTCAACAAATTCTTATCATCGTTTGTTTATGTTTTCATGTTTTGACGACTTTCAGTTTCAAATTCGTTCATTTTCAAGTAGAATTCTTATATTCTTACGTCATCGGTCAATGACGTCATTTACACCGTCTGACCTCGGGTTTTTCATTCATAAAAAGCAAACAACGTGGGAGTAAGATTGGAACAGCCCAAACAATCTATGACGTTGACGATCAGCTGACATATCAATATATTCATATTTGACCACGTGCGTGTATTCAAAGCGTTTGAAGAACGTCATATTATAGAATAATTCATATACTTCTGCTGTTCTCCATCTTTAAGGGACAAACACACGTTTAGACAACTGCTATTTTGGTCAACAGTGTGATTTATTTCAGATATTCAGCAGTAGTAACATTTTCGTCATATTTTCTGTCCAAATTTCAAACCCGCTGATGATTGTGAAGACATTTCCACAAACGTGTTCAATTTTCGGGAACATTGTCGCAATAAAAAGTCCATAATTTTGCAAACAGGAAAGAGCTCGTTAACACAAGTCCAATAATCTTACTTATTTATGGAGGGCAAGATAAATTATTTATTTTATTTGCTTATTCATGTTATTGTTATTGCTTTATTCACATCGTTTTTTTAACCAAACAATATGTTTGAAATGTTTCTGCATTGTTTGTTAAATATACTGTACCTGTAAAGTGTATTCTATTTTATTTGCAAGTCCTTTTATTATTTGTACCTCTTCGGATATAATACATCGGCCAGTTTTCTTTACTGACTGATACGTAAAAAAATAGTTTGGTGTTTCTTCTGAACTGAACATGTTTGTACATTTTTATGCAATTTTAGTTATCTTTCTGGTCGATATGAAAATATGCGATTGGTTTGAGTACTAAAAAATTAAATTATTTTTGTTGCATATTGATGTTCTTTTTTGTCAGGAGCCTCGATGTCTTAATGTATGTTTGCTTAGTATTGTTCCTTTAATGGGTTTTGGAAGAATATGCCGTTGACAGGAGATGACTTCAAGAACTTTCTATACCTTTTACATGGGGTGCATGTAGAAACTTTTATTGACAAAGACGAAATGTTAACCGGCGTTAGATGTTTATTGGGATTTGAATTATTTTGTTGGGTTTGGTGCTATCTTCTTGACAAATTATCTAAATTTCATGGTAGCCATGTACGGTGATGTGTTTCAATGCGTTATAAAATGAATTGAAAAAAAAAACCAGTGAATGAACGTAACATTTTACATTTTATTGTTTCATGACCAACTTCTAAAACACTTAAAAACCTTGAACATTACACTGTTTAACCCATTTTTTTTTTATAAATAATATATTATAGAATTGGTTTAATCACAGAATTTTGATAATTATATATTCTATAATAAAACAATTGAAATATCTTATTCTTCAATTGGTTCTCAGTAAAGCTCAGATGAACTTGAATGTATTCAAAAGAGAGGCGAAAGATACCAAAGGGACATTCAAACTCACAAGTCGTGACAAATCCATGGCAAAAAAAGAAAAACGACCAAAAGACAAACAACAGTAAACAAAACAAAACATAGAAAACATAAAACTGAGCAACCCACCAAAAACCGGTGATGATATCATCAGATGCTTCGAAAGGATAAGTAGATCCTGCTCCACAATTGGCATATGCTGTGTTGCTCATTTAAGTCTAAACAAGGTGAGAAGATAAGCCTAATTCGGTAGAGGTGATTTTAACTCCACCACTTGGAACTTTTACTTGGTTTAATAGCTTCCTTTTAGCAGCAAGCAGTTATCAAGGAAATTGTGATTGGAATAAAGTAAAATAACAAAAATATCGAACTCCAAGGGAAATTCAAAATGGAAAGTCCATTTATTAAATGACAAAAACAAAATCTCAAACAAATCAAACGAACGGAAAACAATTGTCATATTTCTTACATGGTACAGGCATTTCCTTATGTAGAAAATAGTGGATTAAACCTAGTTTTATAGCTAGCTAAACCTCTCACGTATATGACAGTCGCATAGAATTCCTTTAATTTGACAACAATGTGTGAACAAAACAAACAGACACAAAAGGTAAAAATGTCAAAAATTGGGGTAAAGCAGTCAACATTGTTATATAATCTTAATCACTATAAAAAAAACCAAATAACTATTTCAACAAAGAAAAACAAATTAGCATATAGACACTCTATAGACAAAGTACATACGCAAAAATGAAAGACAAGAATACAAAATTGACCCAGCACAATAACACATTGGCGGGATATATAAATACCAAGTCACGCCAAAAGTATATCACCAAAAAGGACTAAACAGTAAAGGTTAAAACTGTACAAGGACAAATAAAAAGAACACTATAACACGTAAATAAGATAGTAAACACCGCCAGTACCTGGAATCTATACTTCAAGACCATCATGTATCATATGTGAAGTTGATACGGAATATTTATCAACAAGGTCTTGGTATCTTCCAATGAACTATTTTCAGAAAAAGGAGGAGAAGTTCTTTGACATAACCTTGGCTCGTCAACTTTCTGCTCTTACACTGTTGGCGTTTTATAAAGTCTGAGTAGCAGCTACAAGCTCTTGAATACCGAATGATTTGGGACATTTATATCCCATATGCAGGTTAAGTTGGTATATTGCTGCTAAGTTGGGGAAATATGATTTAAAAATTAAGATCGTCTCGTTTGTCATATATTCTGGTACTGAGATGACCTCTTATGTAAAATTCGAGGTAGATGTCTAAAATGAGACAGAGCAAGCCGTGTCTGTTGTTTCATTGATTTCTAGTTCCGAAGGATATATTAATGGAACCCAATCAGAAAAGTTAGGCAAACTCTGGAATATCGTACCAACTGGGAGATATTGACTTCATATGCGGGCGCATAAATAGATTGAAAAGAAATAAGCGCTTCATAAGGCATATACAATTTCGTATAATTATTCAGGGAATGTCTCTAGACAAGTTTGTCTTTTTGTAATACTAGTATATAGACGACGTTTCCTGCTTATCCAAAAACTCACATAGTTCGGATACCTTATTGCTTTCCACGGCCTTGTTATAAGGCATAACAAAAATGCATTACTCAATAATCATGTACTTTACGTATGTATATATTCTCGGCAAACACCAATAGCCAGTAATATATAGGCATTATGTGGAGAACACTACAAATAATAATTTTGTTATTCTCTATCTTTACTTCTTTGACAGTTTTCTGGTCCCACGGTAATAATGTTCTCAAATCTATTACTTCACACAAGATTCCAAACTTCTCTGCGTCCTTTGCTACTTCATCTTTTAATATATTCACATGTGGTCCATAACCTATAAGTGTCACACAAGTCCCTGTAACAGATTAGTGCCATTTTTATACCAACTATTGAAAAATCTGCATATTATTTATACGTTTCAGTGTAATACAATTTATATGCATGAATATATATATGTTGATGCCATTTTCGGAAATTTATTCAGTTTGTGAGTTAATTGCCCCAGTTTACACATCAATAACCTTTAGAAAAAAATGTGTTTAATCCCATAGTACCCACTTTTAACAGCTGCTGACAATTGTATCGATCCCAATCAATAGATAAACATTTAAACTTCCTTGTAATTCAAAAGAAAAAAAAAATTAAATACTTGCTTACTTTTCCCTTCAATATGTCCTTCATCTTTGACTTCAAGAATAATTTCAGCTTTTCCTAAAGGTGTTGTGTAATGACATAGTCGAACCATTTCGTGAACAGATTTATTTAAGTCATCATTTGGTTCTATGAATACACAAGGGGTATCATGCTTGATACATGACAGCAGTAAACCTTTTGCGTCTTCGGGTCTTCTTGGCATTACAACCTATTAGGAAATATTACTTAAAACATAATATATGAAAAGAAGACCGATCAAGAAACAATTTAAATTGAAGTGTACAGTTTTCATTACAACCAAATGTTGTATTAAAGTGATCAGCTGGTGATAGAATTGAAGAAACAAAGTTACTTTGGTTCATGAAATAATTTCAGTACAAGTGTCCCAATTTACAGGGACGACACAGTACAAAAACTGGCTTTAAGATGCACAGTATTAATTGGCATACATATTTGTTTCAGAAAGATTGTTATTTTTTTATAAATCAAACTGGCGTGATGGGTTCTTTAGCCAGCCTATCGATTCATCCTGTGGTTTGTCCCCATCTTTTGCAACCTATATCAAATGATCAATATTTTTCTCTCCGCTATGAGTAAAATTATATATATTGGTGGCAAGATTTAAGTCGTTCGTGTATGTGTACGTATTATTTCAACATAAAAATAAATAAGACAGGACTAGGGCTATAGAACAATTAACATACCCTTATCACTAGTAAATGAATGTTGTCTTCGACGGTCGTTGTGATTTTAACATCATATCGCCAAATTCTGAACAATCAATTATTCCGTAATGTTCAGTCATTCGGTCAATTTTCAGACTTATCCAATTCAGTCAATTCAGTACTGTTCAGACAATTCGCTTGCAGTCAAACAGTACTGTTCAGTAGCTATTTAGATACTTCAGAATGATGTTGATGTGTACAGGTTGATAACAACTACTGAACAGTCTGAACATGGAATGAACAATTCTTAATTGAATGCAAGCAAATTGTCTGAACAGTACCGAATTTTCCGTAGTGGATAAGTCTGACAATTGACTTGAAGACTAAAAATGACTTAACAATTTATATATTTTTCAATTTAGCTGTTGGAATCAACATGACAGTTGCAGATCATAATCGGTTCACTTTGGTGATATCTTAACGAGGTTCTTTTAAATTCATCATCTTCAGAAGCTCTTGAATAGTATTAAATGATTTATATTTGTTTACTGTTGCTTTGATATTTGTGATGTTGTTTGATTTGGTGGACGTTAAATTTTAAAGAACGCACACCACTTTTATGAATACCAGTACAACATGTACAATGTTGCGATAAAGAAAGCGTTGTTAATTTCATGCTGTCTTCCAAGGAATCATTACAGTGTCAGAACTTGACTGATACAGGATCCGGCTCCTAGCGCGTTTTCGTACTAACACATTCTCATACAGCAGACAAAGACCAGTAAGGCCATTTAAATCATTATGATTCTGGCAAGCTGTACATTGTTGAAAACTCTTTATAGTTAAAGAGAGGCGAAAGATACCAAAGGGACGTTCAAACTCATAAGTCGAAAATAAACTGACAACCACATGGCTAAAAAAGTAAAAGACAAACAGACAAACAATAGTACACAAAACACAACATAGAAAACTATAGACTGAGCAACACGAACCCCATCAAAATCTGGGGGGATTTCAGGTGCTTCGGAAGGGTTAGCAGATCATAAATTACTAGAACACGATAACACCCTTTGTTAGCTAAGATACATTTTTTTGTAAGATTATGATCAAGTTCATATCTGGCAAAGCCGATTAATTAACTGACAAAGACGTGTAAGTGGTGATACATAAAGACAAATAATAAGGAACCTATCTTGGAATACTAAAATGGTGAAAATGCTTGTGCAGTCAGTTAGTGATTCATTGCTTAACGACAATACGTATGTCAACAATTGACTGTAATTGCAGGTTTGATAAACTTACTTTTATACCATCCATTTTATACAATAGTTTATTACTATCTGTGTGATTCATAGCCCCACGTCTTATGGGTTCAATCGGGGCTATCATTGTAAGATTTTCTAATTTCAATATGTTTTCTGGTAAACATCTTAACGACTGAAATAAAGATAAAAAGCAGTACCTTGAATACTATCATTCAATTACAAATATTACATATGACAATTCAAATAAATGTTATATACGTTATACTGGATAAATTGTAGAAAAAAAATGAGTTGTACAAATGTCTATCAACTTAACATTGTAGTAAACATAATTCAAATCTATGATCACCTGTTGAAAGGCTGTCATGTCTGTTTAATCATGGACACGGGTTAAAATTAAAAACTCAAATAAAAGAGGAAGACACTCTTCTGTATGTTTTTCATCTGTAGGGTGCACAATCTTTTTAAAACGTGTGTTTTCGGTTTAAAAAAAATATTTATATGTTTTATTGATAACAAAATATAACACAAATACCGAATTCAAGGCAAATTAAAAAAGGGGAGGTCAATAAAAATATGACAAAATCAAACGCTATCAATAAACGGTAAAAGTGAAGAAAAAAAAACAACTGCCATTCCTGACTTGGTACAAAGATTTTCCGAGGAAGATGATGGATAAAACCTGGTTTTAATGCTAGCTACATCTCCCACTTGTATGGCAGTTGTTTATAATTCCGTTTTATTGACAAAATTGTGTAAGCAATCCAAACAGAAATAATTGTTTAATGTGACAATAATTGGGATCCAGCAGCCAAAACTGTGTAAATATACATCACAGACATACAACACAACAGACTAAAAAATTCAAACAAACATACAAATTAATTTAACAAAGACGCCAACAAAAAAGCGAAGTTTACAATTTTGCACTTTAGGACTTCCAATTAAAGCTTTCACAGTATAAAATCCTTGATTAGAATTGGAATTGTCTTTCAAAGCAGTTGGTTACGGGTGTTCCTCATTTTAGTAATCTTGATATGCGCATTAAAAACCGGAATCAATTACATTTTGCATTAATGCATACAAAAGTTACAGAAACTAAAAAGTTTAATATAAAAAGTGTACGGACTAAAGAGATCAAACTGTAGAGTAATCCTTTAACTACCTCGTCTAAAGGTTGGAAAATACATCCTTGTCGATCAGAATACTGTACATCCGCAATTACTGTAGAACCATCAATATCTGTTCCAATCCCAATGTGAACAATACCGTGTTCACTGAATTGTTTATTAATCACTACGGGTGTTTCAGGAGCTGCAAACATATGAAGATTTTTTCTATCTTTTTCCTCTGAAGGATTTAAAACAGTTAACAGTCTTTTTATTGAGAACTTCAAAATTAATCAAAACCAAGTTAATGCTGTTCTATATACCTTAGTTGGTAAAATTTGAGTTTGTGCAATCAAAACACTAGCGAACGTGACTTAAAACGTGCCTTTCAACACAGCAAAAACATTCCAACTGTTTCAATGTTAAGAGCAGACTGATTGTTTGAAATTTTTGTGTTGAGACATTACTACCTTACCAGTATTTTAAGATCTGGCACAGCGATGGTTGTCTCATTTGCATTCATACTACAACTTTTTATTTTATGAAAAAATAATATCAATAGAGTTCTTCCATACTATTTATATCACGTCCGTAATCAAAATATAAGTTGACATTCAGCAACGGTTGCTCATCTTAAAGCTTCCATTTTATCTTAATCTGAAATTTTACTGTGTTTTGATCTTTTTTTTTTTTTGTTCTTTTGGGTTTCTTAAATAGTTTGATTTGCAGCAGTTTCTTTTGTACTTGAACTTTGTTTTCAAAAGTGTACTTGCCTTTATTTTCTAGCAATTCAACACAACCACTGCATGTTATACCTTCCTCAAACAGGACTGAAAAACAAATTCAATTAACTGTCCAACCAAACAGTATAACGTTTTTATCTAAATCTGCAAGTATTTGGTAAAGTGTTAAGTGATTATATTGAATATTTACTTATTCCTGGGTTTCCTTTATCAATTAGTGAACATCAGTGGTACTAGTACTCTATACTTTGAAGAAGAAAAAACTTATTTGGACTTGCAGCAAGTTAACCTTACTTTAAAAAGTAATAGATGAATAATTTTCATTGTTTCTTAGTTTTCTCCTATTTTCTATGTCTATAAGATTCCTTAAGTTTATAAATCTTCAATCGATTAATGAAAAACTTGCCAGTACTCACGTTTTCTTAAAATGATACTTAGTAATTTAAAACAAAAAAAGTTTCCATTCTCTAAATTAGTTAAGTACTCTACACACAGTGTCGTAATAAAGCATTTTAAGATAATTTTTTTCTGTTAGTCTATGATTTATCTGGTCACACTTTCTGTGTGCAGAAACTCTAAACGTTAAGGTATAGATAAGTAACACCCCGTGAGCATTATTGGTTGTTTGAGTGTTTAAGTACAAATATCTGTCTACTGCCTGGTGATTGCATAATTCAACAAAGTGCCGTTCATGGCTGAATCTTTATACATGTATGTTCTCTTTCTTATCTCATAAATAAAAAAAGAAATTAATAAGAAACAAACTAATGTTCCATATTCCTTCAAATGAGGTTCACTTTAGATAAATTTGGACATTCGTATTATTTACCTTTCGGTCATATGGTTCTTAACCTTTCTACTGATATTTTCAATTATAAGATTATTTTTTTCTTTAGATTCTCCCTCCTTACCTAGTTTACGATTCATAGTTAGAGCAATATATAATGCATCCTTTATTGCCCAACCTAAACTCATCCTTGATCTTGGAACTGTAAATATAATGGTTAATATTCAAATTAATCAACAGAAATGAAACATAATCAAATATATAAAAAATCGCAGTAGTCAAAGGAAAATTTAAATTATATTTTTAAAAAATAACAAAAAATGAAACAAAAAAAGATTGGATAATTAATGATCCGTATTTAGATAATTAATTTATCGGTTATTTATAAATCATGACATCAAAGAAAAACAATTCAGAACAAACATTTGTCTAGATTTGACGGATTAGTTTACGTCGTAAACAGTTAGAAATCAAATATACAGACGAGACTTTCACATATCAGCTTAAATATTCATGTTACAATGAAATATGACTATTCCATTTTTATTGTCTGTTGAGCCCAAACCTTTAATGTAGACGAATTAATTATTTAATTCTTAACAATGTCCTTGTAGTTATGGCATGCTACCACCATGTTATTGTCTGCTTTGTGATCCAGTACAATTAGAAACCGCGTAGCAAGTATTTGAAGTCTATTCGTACTCCTAGAATTGGCTTATTATTTAACTTTAAATTTCGAAGTTTATTTCGATATGTGAAATGCGAAAATCAATATAATCCGAAAATTAGTGGTAACGTGAAATAAGTTATTATTCCTTTTATGATAATGGTCTAATTTTGCATTCATTCAAATTACCAGTAGAGGTCATGCATTTGTGAACCAACATTGTTGTCTGTAACTTCTTATTCAAAAACAGTCCATTCTGTAAAATTCGCATGAATTTGGACATGGAGCTTTCACTTGTATCTGGATACACGGGAAATATATGTATCTGCAAGTAAATAAGATAACGACAGCAGTTATAATCCAAAAAATAACTGTAGTTTCTACCAAATTGTTCATCTTAATATTGTATTTCAAAAAATGGATTCATCTTACTTAATTTCTGTTGTATAACAATAAAATTTAAAAAAATATTCCCTAATACAAACCTATGATTTCGTATCCGGCTTAAGTAATAGTTTTGTTAATTGCTTTTATATCAGCATTTTATAGCGTCTTTTAGATTTGGCATTTAAAACCAATAATCAATTGATCAATCAATAGTTTGATAAAATGATAACTAAGAAGTCTTGCAGTTCTTACCGAATACAAAGACAGACACCCAAGAGATATTGCGCACCTGGTCCAGTATAATTGGCATTGTTTAATACTTAAACGAATATTCCAGAATATGTACAGATGTAGCCCTTTTCAAGGACTAAGATTTGTTTGAGTCAATAATATCAATAGAACACCGTAATTATCTTTTAACTTTATACACAATCATTTCTACAAATCTACTCTAGTAGAGTTACTTACAAGATCGTAAGAAGAAAGCATAAAGACCATATATACAATGTATCAAAGTATAAAACCTATCGCATTATACAAGGATCGGTATCTATCAACTGTCTGCCTTAACAAAGTATATAGAAGTAGCTTAGTTCGTGTTCATTAACGATATATTCAGAAGTAATTTTATCTGCATTTCTTAGGCTTTTAAATGAAATGCATAAAACCGTTACAAATTCAAATCACGACTTTTTTTAGCACGAAAAAGGAAAAGCGTTAAATGTTTTCGTGAAATCAACTGAACACTTTCGATAATCGTGAAATTTCTTATAAAATGATTTAGATGTGCTATAAGAATTTCTTATTGCAAAGTATGAAAAAGGAAAATTTCAAGATTGAGGCATGAGCTAGAGTTGGAAACAATGCCTAAGACAGAAAGGTTACGCTTTTTTAACTTAAAACATCTGACGTTGATCAAAAACAGATTTTTACATATAGAAGATCATCAAATACAATGAAATCAGTATTTTTCATACAAACTGTATTGAGATCCCATATGCATATTGCTAACAAATGAATGGGATCTATCTAGGCCAAAGGTTTTTAAAAACCTAAGGAAATGTGTTGCCCTGATATTAATGAAAAAATATTGATATCAGAAGCGGAATAATTTAATTTCATGTTATCCAAATAAGTATTGATGCTAGTATTAGAACACAAATGATGAATGTCTGGAGGAAAACAAAAACACATTAGTTGCAATTTTTGAAAAATAGCAGTCATACCAAAATCCTCATGCGTCCAATTTAAGTAAACAATAGTGAGCATTCTTGACAATTTCCAAGTTAGACTAAAATAACAAAGGAGCAACGGAGAATCACCAAATTTTTCTTCATATTGAATTTGATTGTACTTAGCTAAAATGTAGATTTGATAATATGATCAGAAGTATGGATCACCAGGTTATTTTTGCAAGATTAAAGTTTATTTATGAAATATTTTTTCTGTGAATAGAAATTTATCGATGAGATGAAATTTAGAATAAAATATGCAAGAAAGGTTGCATAATGTGCTTTTAGAAAAAAATATAGCGATGTTGGTTGGCAAACGGGGTCATCGGAAACATTTTTAAAACTAGATTCCATCATGATGATTGTAGCCAGTTTTGGTTAAATTTGGCCTAGCCGTTTCAGAGGAGAATATTTTCAAAAGTTAGCGACGACGGACGACGGATTCCAAAGGATGAAAAAAAAGCTCACTTGTTGAATTGACCTTTTATGCCTGGTGAGCTAAGAAAAACCAATATTTGGTTTTTGTCAAAACAGTTTTAATAATACAAGGAATCACTATTTTTTTTGAAAAATAAATTGCCATTCTTTCTAAAATTTGCAGATTTAAACAAAGAGCTAGACCGATTGTGTGCTACTATCTAACAATCCAAAACGGTTGTATTGTTAATCTATATTGAATGAAATCACTGAATAAAATATGGTTCAAAACGATTCATATGTTTGCTCGAAATTGTCGAATGTTATGCGTCCGATATCTGCCGTTTAAAAAGCATTGATAATTAATCTGTAAAATGTTAACATTGTATAGTTGAATAGATATATTGATTTTGGAACTAAAACCATGTAACACCTAATTAGAGTGAAACAAAATAACGTTAAAACTGACAATCATGCATCACATCAAAGTTACTTGTGTTTATAAAAGGGCATTAGCTATATACGTTTAAAACAAAAACAAAATAAATGTGATTCTTTTTTTTTTGTTCCACGTATTAGTAACAGCGGAATTTGGAAATAATATTTCGTTATAAGTAGTCAGTTTTGCCCATATTTGTCAAAATAAACACAAATACTTTGCTGAGGAATCATTTAGTTGGAAACACATGTAACACCATATTAGAGTGAAACAAAATAAAGTTAAAACTGACAATCATGCATCACATCATGGAATTTCTTTTTAATACAGATACACTGGATAAACGTTAGTTCGTTAAAAAGATACCACGAAGCCGGAGGCCGTCGGAATATGAAAATAATATTTCGTTATAAGTAGTCAGTTTTGCCCAAATTTGTCAAAATAAGCACAAATACTTTGCTGAGGAATCATTTACTTGAAAATCAATAATTCCATCCCATTTAAATCCGTATTCATGTGACGTTCAAATTAACCCTTAGCTGGAGATGGATTACGCATGTACTAGGCATGTTCAGTTATTAAAAGGAAAAGAATTTCAACAATGAAAGTGAAACAACGGTGAACATTTCGTTGACTGATTCGATCCACAAAATCCCTTCTTATACAGGTTAAAAAGACGATTAACATATTTTGTAACCTACAACATGAAATTCAAACAGACCTAAAAAATATAATTGCACGTGCTCGCTATCTTTATATATATATAGATATAAAGCAGTCAAAAGGGTTTAAGAACATCCGTTGTTCGACCTGCTAGCTATATATATATAGACGCAATCATAGGTTTGAACGTTGTTTTCAATTTAGACTTGTTTATATTTTTTCGTTTGGGCTTGTATTATATTTGCTTTCGGGTTTATATGATCCGTTCATCCTATTTCGACTCTTCACAATTCAAGAGTCAATACCAAATTAAGGTAAATTATATGGCCTTCCAAATACCGTTTCGATTCCTAACATCACTGAAGAGACATTAGATGTCGAATTCCGGATATGGTGTACAAATTTTTGCACCTCATGTTTGCGGTATACCATCTTTTCTGCAAGTTTATTGTTTTCTGTTTGGTATTAAATCGTTTATTAAGATCCATTTTGTTACATCTGGTGATCCGTTTATTTGGCAATCGCCATGGCAGTCAGCAGGGTTTAAGAACATCCGTTGTTCGACCTGCTAGTCAAATGCGTTTTGGTAAAATATACTTTTTCACTTTTTTGGTCTTTTGGAAAATGTTGTTTTTGCTGTATTTAGACCCCTCTACCAAGAAATTTGTTTTGCATGCACACGTTAAAAAATTGCCGTTTTTATCCAACGCAATCATAGGTTTGAAAGTTGTTTTCAATTTAGACTTATATATATATATATATGTGTGTGTGTGTTTGTATCGGGTTATATGACCGCCTACAGTCATCGGAGGTCTTATCTATTTGTAGCAGTAGTTGTATTTGATATGATAAAACTTGTAGGATTTAGGAATATTCCAATATGAGACATTCACATATAACATACCAGCGGCTTAACCTCACAGTTTCTCATAGTAAAAGAATGTAAATATATTAAAAAAAACTATAAGCGTTATTCTACAAATCGTTGGTTTCGGTTTCATTTAAAGCTATTCAAGTGTCATACATACTGGTTGACTGACAGGTATTTCCCATTAAATCTTACGTTTTAATCTCGGACAAAACGAAAACTGAAGATTAAGCGTGGCGTCCATTTCTCTGAGCTTGTATACATCATTGTTAAGGGACTAGCTGGAACTCGCCTAATATTTACATATAGGAAACACAAAATAATTGCAATTATTGTATATTAGATAATTAAATTTAATGAGGTCACTGGCGTACGTTGTTTTTGTTTATAATCTTTTAGTATTATAAATCAAATGTGTCTACTGATGCTGACACACATAAGGAACGCCTCTGTAAATTTAGAATGCTTATTATCATGTGCTTTTAATTCTTAAATGTGTAAAGCACATTGAACTTTCTCACTCGTAATACTAAAGACTTGATTGCAGCATCTGTTTAACTATATACAAAAATTTTGATTATCAAACAATATTGTACTAGTGACGATCGCAACAAAACTTTGTATTTGAACATCATACTGCGGAATTATTCAGCTTAGTGTATTACAATTATTATTGTGACATTATAATTATTGGAGATCACCCTTTTACTGTGACATTATAATTACTGGAGATCACACCTTTATTGTGACATTATGATTACTGGAGATCATCCATTTCAGTTCCCTTATCCTACGTTGATCACTACACACTGATATGCCAGGAGGAAAGAAAGTCATGCAAGAGGAAAGAAATATCCGGCAAGAGGACAAGGCGTCAAGAAAAGGTAGATGGCTTATTCCCAGGAACCCATCATAGAACATAATGAGAAATCTGGTGAGTCAGTCATTGATGTAAACATTATTCAAGGGGGTTCTCAAACGTTAACTTGGACAGAACCTTCATCTAACAAATTTAATGAACTCGTTCATTTTTCTCAGAACCTTCCCAGCCTCGAGGAATTTATTTTCGATCCAATTGGATGCTACATACCTTTGAAGCTAAAAGAGAAAATTTGGAAAGGGGAATTTATTGACCTGAGTTTGTTGATTAAGTCTGCAAGGGAACTTTCAAATTTTCTTGACCCAGATGGTGACATAGTTGTAAAAGGAGGGCATATGCGGGTTTAATCTTTGCCATGTCGCGCAATATCCAATATCCACACTTGGACAAGCGCTTTTATGTTATATCTGAGTGTTTTGCTTGAGAAACATGACCAGAG